ACCATAGCACAGACAACCTTGGTCTCAAGACTCCTAGCCAAAGTCCCACTGGCTATAATTGAGCCCAAAACCCTGCAGGAAAGAGGAGCCAGAGAAATGCACTAAGGTTCTGACACTCGCCTAGGTTAAGTGCCCCAGACTGAGTCAAGTTACCCCACTCTGGGAGTGCTGTTTGAGGCCAAGAAGGTCTGGGTGGCAAATGCACTGAGGTTAGAGAACAGACACCGAGTAGCCAGTTAAATCCTTCCTCACCCAGCAGGAAGTGTTGTTTCCGGCAATGCCAAGGTGTCCATTTCCTTGCATCACTTCCTGTTCCAGTGTGGAGCATGGTGTTCGCAATAGCAGCAAAGGATGGCTGAGGGTTTTTTTAGTACTGGGGATGGAACTTAGAGCTTTGCATATCTAAGCAAGCCCTCTACCACTGAGCTACACTCCCAGTCAGCTGAGGAACCCTCGGCAATACCAAGCAATACATTTTACCCATATGTTTGTTTTGTTTTGTTTTGTCTTTTGAGACAGGGTCTCAATATGTAGTTCAGACTGGCCTTGAACTCACTATGTAGCCCAGGTTGGCCTCAAACCTATGGCAATCCTCCTGCCTCAGCCTCCCTAGTGCAGGGATTACAGCTGAGAGCTACAACACACAATTTAAAATAAATTTTAAAAAGCTATGAGGCTGGGTGTGGTGGCATACACCTGTAACCCCAGCACTCCGGAGACTGAGGCAAGAGGATTGCAAAGAATTTGAGGCCAGCCTGGGCTACATAGTGAGCTCAAGGCCAGCCTGAATTACACAGTGAGACCTTGTCTCAAAAAAGGGGCGGGTGTAGGTCAGTGTGAAGGCCCTGGCTTCAATCCCCAGTAGAGGAGAGAGAGAAAGAGGTGAGGGGGAGGGAGAAACAGAAAGAAAGAAATAGTGGCACATGCCTGCACTTCCAGCACTCAGGGAGGCTGAGGCAGAAGGTAGCAAGTTCAAGGCCAACCTGGGTTACTTAGTGAGATCCTGTCTCCAAGTGAAAAAAATTTGGGGGGGTAACCATACCCAGTGGCAATAAGCTCTGAGAGCAGAAATCTCATTTGTTTATTCACTTTGTTCACTAGCAACATGTAGGTGCTCAAAAAAAAAAAAAAAGTTTCATGATATTGCGCTCGCCACCCCCTCCGCTGCCCCCCCCCCCAGCCCCTGACCGCAGCACTGGCGCCGGGCTCTACCCAGAACCACAGCCCTCAGAGGGGGGCAGGCGCTGGAGCCAGGCTATTGTTGTGGCGGAGGCTCTTTCCCAAAACGGAAAGAGCCTGAATTAGAGGGAGCTGCGGCTCTAATCTCTGCGGGGCTTCCAGGAGGCCGGCTGGCCGCACTGCCCTCAGAGCCCTCCCCTCTCTGCAGCCCCTGAGCCCTCCCAAGAGCCTCTTGCCCTCCCTGAGACCCTGACCCCTGCTGTCTTCTTAGCCCTAGGCTCGCCCGTCCCAACCCATCCCAAATCCCCTCCAGGCCCTGCTGAGTTTCATTGCTCTTTGAAGCTTCCCACCCCAGCAGAACAAATCGCACACACACCCCCTCCCCATGTCATCTGCTTTGTTCATCTGCCACCGCCGTCGCCACTCTGACCGGCCCTTCCTGCCGCCACCGCTGTATCCCCAGGCTGAGATCCTGAACCCAAGTCCCTCTGACCCGTCTGCTGGCACCTCACACTGCGCAGGTGTTCCAAATGATTTATCACAAGCAGCTGACGGCTGCAGAAGCCATTTAGCCCAGAGGTGTCCAGAGGGTGTTGGTTCAAGGAGAAAGCCGAAGAGTCAGATGAATCCAACATTTCCAGAGCACCCTGAAGTGCAGGTGCTTTCTCGGCCCCAGGTCTTGGCATCCTCCTGCCATCACTGAGGGAGGGCCCCTCACTTCCATGACACGGAAGGACACTTAGAGATGCCACACAGCCAGTGAGTTGAAGGCCAGGTTAAGAATCAAAGGCAGGGCTGGGTGTGGTGGTGTATGCCTGTAATCCCAGCACTTGGGAGGCTGAGGCAGGAGGATC